CACTTGTTACTATCTGTCCTGGTGGGTGTGAAGTGCAATCTCATTGTGGTTTTGATTTAAATTTCCCTGATGGCTGATGATGTTGACCGTCTTTTCATGTGCTTATTGGCTATTTATGTCTTTGGAGAAATGTGTATTCAGATTTTTCACCCATTTTTTTTGTTGTTGTTGGGTTATTTGTCTTTTTATTACTGGGTCGAGAGAGTTATTTTGTATTATAAACACAAGTCTCTCGTCAATATATGTTTGGCAAATATTTTCTCCCATTCTCTGTCACCTTAACAAGGTCCATGAACACGCAGGATCTTTCTGTTCATCTGTGTCTTTTCTCAACGATGTTGCTTAGTTTTCAAAGCACGAGGTTTACGGTTCTTTTGTTAAATTTATCTCTAAGTATGTTATTCTTTTCGATGTTATTATAAATGGAATAGGTTTCTTAATTTCATTTTCAGATTGTTTGTTGCCAGTGATGGAAATACAATAGACTGAAAATATTCATCTTGTACCCAGCAACATTGCTTAACTTATGTATTAATTCTAATAGTTTTTTGGCGGATTTCTTAGGATTTTCTGTATATAAGGTCATGTCATTTGAATACGGTCTTACTTCTTCCTTTCCAGTCTGGATGTCTTTTGTTTCGTTTCCGTGCCGCTTGGCCTGGCTGGGACTCTTACACCGTTGAACAGAAGTGGCCAGAGCAGACATCACTGCCTCATCTGTGTTTCAGCAATTTGTTTAGAATGTCCCTTGATGTTGTTTTCTTCAAACTTCTCGTGCTCGAGTTTCATTGAGCTCTTTGGATCTGTTGGTTTCTGGTTTACATCAAGATTGGAAAATTCCAGTCATCATTTCCTCAAATGCTGTGATTTCTCCCCCTCCCTCCCATAATGTTCTGTAACTTCCACCGCTAGAGGTCCAGTCGGGGTTTATAGCCTCAATGTCTCTAACACATTCCGTCTTTTCTCTAGCTTCTCGAACACATGAACGTCCTCGTCTACCAATTCTATTGTCTGTGACATTCCTGGGTTGCTTTCAACTGACTTACTTTTCTCCTCTTTATGGGTCATATTTTTCTTCCTTGCATGCCTGGTAATTTTTTGCTGGGTGCCAGACATGGTGAATTTAACGTTTTGGGTGCTGGATATGTTCATGCTCCCATAAATACTCTTGAGCCTGGTTCTGGGGGCAGATAAAGTACTTAAAAGCAGTTCGATACTTTCAGGCCTTGTTTATGAACTTGGTTAGGCAAACAAGAGCAGCACTCAGGCCAAGGCCAATGATTACTCACTACGGGGACAAGACCCTCCCGCGTCCTCTGCCACACGCCCATGATTCCAAGGTTTTCCATTCTGGCTGGTGAGGCCCAGGGACTACTTGTGCCCGCGTGCACTCAGAGGACCCTTCCCTGCGGTCCACTTGGGCCATTTCTCCTGGCCCCGAGAAGTGTCCTCACCAGGCTGAGGCCCCACTCCCATTCTCCAGAATCTCCCTCCTCTCTGGTACTTTGTCCTGCGAACTCCGCTGCGTGGGTCCCCGACTGTCGGCTCCATCTCCTCAACTCAGGGAGGCTGCCAGCTCTGCCCGGCCCCTGGCTGCACCATGGCCGGGAAGCCACGTTCAGGTGTCAGCTAGGGCGGTACAGGGTGCCCTGCACTTTCTTCCCACATGACAGGGACCAGTGCCCTTCACTGCGTGCTGGCTCATACATTTCACCTGCTGTTTCGGTTGATTACGGTGGGAGAGTAAGTCTGGTCCCAGCTGCCTCATCGTGACTGAAAGCAATTCTCTTCATGCAGATCATCTATTTTACTTAATCCTCTCAACCACACAGCAGGAAGGCAGGTCCTATCACAAATCTCATTTTACATTTGGGGTTTTGTGACTTGCCGAAGGTCACACGGCTGAGTGACGGCAGAAGCGGGGTTCTGCCCCAGGCTGTGCGAGAAGCAGTCCCAGAAGCTCCCGTGCTGACCTGCGCGCGGGCTGGCGTGGTATCTGCCAGCTTTCCGGACACAGAGTGGACTGAAGGGTCCGCGCCCGTGTCTCTGCAGGGTCTTTGCTTTTACTCCTCGCTCGCCTGCCCGGGCGAGCCTAGTTCTGGGTGGCACGATTCTTGGGAGCCCCGAGACAGGCGCGGCTCCAGAAACGGGTGTTACTTCTTCCCTTCCCTCTCCCCTCCTCCAAGTTCCCTCCAACGCCCCATCACGGACCTGAGGGGACTGACCACCTGGGACTCCGGTGGGCGGCAGCCAGGAAGCCCACAGCCTGGTCCCACGCGCAGACATGGTCACAGCCACAGGCCCTGTGATCACACTGCCAGCCCGAGCACCCCTTGGGGACTGGAACGTTAGGGGCGCCAGTTCATTTACTCCACACGAGGCTCCCATGCCCTGGGCCGCAGTGGCCCAGGCTCTGCCCAGGTTCTGAGCTGCACGCTGGGCACAGCAGGCCTCCTCGCCAGCGAGAAACGGCCTTACTGGACATGGGCAGGAGGTCGGGGTGAAGGTTGAAGAGAAGGCTCACTGGGGGTCACTTGAGGGGGCCTGTAGGTCCCCAGGTCCCGCCCCCAGCTGTGTGTGCCTGTGCCAGAGAGGGGCCACATGCTCAAAGGAACATCAGCCCAGACACCGCAGCTTTAGTTCCTGCCCCCAGAGGGGCGGCCATGGGCCCCAGGGACCCCGAGAAGTGAGCCACAACCTCCCGCCTCCAGCTTGCGTCCTAGCGTTAAGCCCCGGCCGTCAGCCAGTCCGGGCCCCAGTGACAGACGCCAGAGACTGGGCCTTCTCAACTACAGAAATGTGCTTCTCCCCATCCGGAGGCCAGAAGGCCAAGGTCGGGGCAGTGTGGTCTGGTTTGCGCGAGGGCCGGCTCTGGTTGCAGACTCTACCACTTCGTGAGTCTCGGTGGTGTCCCTTTGACAAGGGCGCTAATCCCATCCCCGAAGGCCCCACCTCCTCATGACATCACCTTGGGGGCGCTGCACTTGTCGGGGACACTGTCCATCCATCGCACCTGGCCTCCGATCAGGAGACATCTGGCCAAAGGCCGCCAACTCCAAGTGGCAGATGGGTGAGCTCAGGGAGGACGCTGCCCTCCCTCCCAGTTCAGCAAACCAGGCCCGTGGGGCCAGTCCTGGAGGAGGCTGCACACACAGCCAGGTGACACCCTGTCCCACCCAGGCAAGACTTCGGGGCCAACCCCTTCTGGTCCACGTAGGGGAGTGAACAGCCAGGGCCTGCACACTGTCCCTGGGCCCTGGGACACAGCGATGGGGGTACTCAGGCTGCAGCCGGCCAGCCCATGGCCCCTGGGTGTGGGTGTTTGGCCCAGGCTCTGGTCAGCTCAGAAGTTGGGGGTGGATACTGGGGCCGGGAGAGGACAATGGTGCCTCCCCACATCTGGGGTGGCTGGGCTTCTCCCCTCACTGTGCTAGACAGGGTAGGGGTGTTAGGGGACCATGGGGAAGCTTTCCTCCGCCAGCCTCTGGTGGGACCCCCAGGTGGTAAGGCCAGGGCGGGAGGTGGGACACTTGGCTGGCTTGGGTGTGTGCACCCCCCTTGCTGAGAGAGCTCCGGGGTTGATGGCGGCCTCGTGTGAGAGTCACCCATCCTCTGGTTTTGCTGAGCCAGCACCTCACTCACAGTGGGGACCTGGGACCTGAGCCCAACCCAGTCACATGCTTTCTGGTAACCATGGCAAGCAGGCTGCAGAAATGGTCAGTGTGGCCTGGGCATGTCGGTGTCTGCGCTGTGGGTGGCAGGGCCAGCTGAGGCCAGGCCCGCCCAGGGCGGTGGGCGCTGGGAGTGTCGGCATGGCGCATCTCCCATACCTGCCCTGTGTGAAGTCTCGGGCCTATGAACCCTCAACCTCCTACTCCAACCCTGGTACCCCATTAGTTACTGCCACGGAAGTGATCCCCGGCCCTGCCAGCCCTGCCCAGTGCCACAGGGGTGGGCCTAGGCTGTGGCTGGTCAGTGCCAGCATGGCAGGGGCTCGTCCCCATCAGAGCTCATTGGGACACTGCTTCCGGTTCAAGTCAGACAAGTCACTCGGCCAGTCACCGCGGCGGCAGCACTGTCCTGGGTTTGTGCCCACCCCAGTTCCTGTTCTCACCCCCACCCAACCTCTTCCACAATTGTTGTCAGGAGGACGAGTGGTGTGACCCCTGGGTGACCATGGGCTCCTTAGTTATTTCTATTGTTATTTGTATTTATCTTAAATTTTACATGAAATTTATTGTTATTCACTGCCATAAAACAAATGAACCAAAAGTTTAGCAGCTTAAAACAACTAACACGCATCATCTCCCAGTCTCTGAGGGACAGGAGGCCAGGGGCTGCTCGGCCGGGTGGTGCTGGCTCGGGGTCCCTCAGGAGCCACCCTCATCTGAAGGCTGCACAGGGCTGGTGGGCTAGCTGGGCCACACTCTTGTCGGCTCCTCCACAGTGGAGCACAGCTGGTCCCCCCCAAAGCGAATGATGTCGAACAGACAGACAGAGCAGGCCCACCAGCAGCCTAATCGCTTCTGCAGGACCCACGCTCTGGGGGCCTCCGGGGAGGGGCCCTGCGGCCTGTTCCTTGCCCAAGGCTGCATCGCTAAAGGTAGACAGCCCCCAGGGCTCCAGGACCAGAGACAGAGCAGTCAGGCACAGCTGAGGGGAGCCAGGGTGAGCCAGGGAAGGGATGGGGCTGCTGGAGCCTGCAGATAATCGGGACCCCATGGGAGCTGCGGTGGAGACTCAAGGCCTCACCTCGCCTGAGCCAGGGCTCCAAGCGGCCGCCACTCCTTCCCTACCCTGAACTTCCAAGCCACTGGGCAGTGTTTCGAGGGCCTGGCCAGGCCGACTTCTGTCACCATGAAGACTTATTCTTTCTCCAGATTTCAAACACCTATGATTCGCTATCATTGTCAGGTCCCCAAGCTCTGGCCCCACAAGAGACAGATGGACCCAGATGGACAGGATCCAACACCCACAGAGGCAGGCAGGTCAGCCGACTATCCCTGAATTCAGCAAACATTTATTGACCTTGGTCCTGGCAGGAACTGGGCTGGAAAGAGGCCAAAGATAACAAGCCAGGTCTGCCTGCCAGCTGTGGCGGGCGTGACCAGCGGTCCCTGCCTCACCCCAGGAGGAAGTCCTGACTCTCCCCCATCCGCGGGCAGGAGAAGGTGCTTCATCCATTACTCAACAGGAAGTGTCTGCAAGACAAAAACCGGAGAATCGAGTGGCAGGGGTG